CCGAGGCGTCTTTGTATTCATATCTCCACACGCCATTGCATGTGCGAGCGGCACTTGGAGATGAGGAGGAGGCGATGTGAAATGACAAAGATCCTCGAACAACATTTGTGTCGTTGATAAGCGTTGGCCCCCTCTTAAATAGTAAGATAACACCGTGAACATTACATAATTATATAGTTACTAGCTGACCCGGCAAACATTGTTTTGCCATATATAAGATTTCTAGGGAATTTCTAGTGTAGAAAAAAAAACTAACTTATTGTAAGTGTGTAAGGATGTGGTAAATGAGTGAAAGAGGTATGTAGTGCTGTGAACGTTGAGGGAATATATAATAAAAATAACAAAACCTCATTCAACCACATTAAAACAAAAAAAATGTCCAAATAAAAAAAAATATGTTAGGGGTTAGCCGATTCTCAGGCTTACTGAATATGCATAAAAAATTTCATGAGAATCGGTCAAGCGGTTTCGGAGGAGTATGGGAACGAACATTGTGACACGAGAATTTTATATATTAGATTAGATATAGTTATATAGTTAAGATGCAATATGGGGCGGTATCTTTAATGATGCCCAGTGTAGTATTGAAGCTAAGTTCAGCTCCTGCATCTACGACAGAATCATTGCAAACTGAAATTAATTTGGATATCTTCCTACAACCATTAAAGATAACCCCAAAATCTCTTCTAAATTTACACCTACTTCTCGCTCCACAAATTATAGTTAAAAAGTATCGTTGTACTTAGATCCTATAGCTTTTTGACGGTAAAAATCGAACGTACAGAATGCATGTGAGGTTGCGTGCTCGTGACTTTATTATTATGCTAATCATATGAGATGCTGATATAAATAAAAATATGAATTTTAAGGTTATGCTATGCAAGTATAGATATAATGATTTACCTTCGTGATTTTTCGGAAAAGTTCGTATTTATCGTGCTCTCTCAAATAGCTTCAGTACAATGACATTATTCATTTTGACATTTGACACTAAACAATAAAGTCCCATAATAATGGATATGAAAATGTCACACATGTAATAGGATCATTCTTTGACAGTTCGGGTGTCATCGTATTCCGATAAAGATCCGAGTTTTTCCGAAGGAAAATAATTTCTCACTACATCTATAGCTATTTTTTTATTATTGCTTAGATGTGTGGGTGAGCTTACGGTCCACCGGTAATACCAAATGGGCTTTAAGCTAACTACAGTCCCATTACGGCTATAATTCTTAATAGCACCGTAAACCACATTTCCAACACAACATCTATCGTGGAATCACAAAGAAATAGGAGCAAGTCGTGAAAACTTAGGAATTAGCTTTTAATGGCTTAGTTAGCATAAAACGGTGATTAAGTGGTAAGTTATCACGTGGTAATTGTCGGGCGGTGCGAGGTACGGACCGTCGGAAATTAGGGTAGCTGTAAGAGGCCGTATTTCTGAGACAATCACTATGCCTGTCTGACAGTAAGGATTATAAAGAATTGCTTGAGATGAACGCGTCGTTTCCAGTTTGAGATCGCATCATCGGCTGTCTGATTTTACTGGTGGTAGGACCTCTTGTGAGTCCGCGCGGGTAGGTACCACCGCCCTGCCTATTTCTGCCGTGAAGCAGTAATACGTTTCGGTCTAAAGGGTGGGGCAGCCGTTGTAACTATACTGAGATTTTAGAACTTATATCTCAAGGTGGGTGGCGCATTTACGTTGTAGATGTCTATGGACTCCAGTAACCACTTAACATCAGGTGGGCTGTAAGCTCGTCCACCCATCTAAGCAATGAAAATAAAATAAAAATGTCATTCTTACTTCATGGGCCCTTGCGCTCACCGGTTCAAGTGGTGGCTTTACTAGTTGTAGTCCATGCTATCCTCCTACACGAGTAGATACCGCCATCCTAACTCTTCCGCGATTTAGTCGGTGGGACAGCCTAATACGATATCTACAACTGAGACTTTGGTATGATGTATCAAGATGGATGAGGCCCTTACGTTATGATTCTCAGCTCCAGTAATCACGTTACACCAGGTGGACAGTACGCTCGGTCACTGATTTAAGCAATAAAGGTAGTTGTAACTACTTCTGTATTCAATATTGTTCACATATCGTTCATTTTCAACGAAATGTGATTTTGCGTAATGCATACAAAATCTAACGTACAAAATATGAAGCAGATAAAGAATAAACTGTCCACAAAGCTGTCCGTTAAAAGACAAAGTCCTTAAAACTCTTGGCTACCCTATTAGAAAGGGAATGCAATCGACAACCACATCGCAAATTCGCTGAAAGTAAATCGCCGCGAAAACAGAACACAAATTGCTGGCGCAGTTCTCTTCGATGTTTTTGCAAGGACTTGAAAGGAAACTTGTTAATTTAGGAGATCATTAATACTAAAATGTGAGTCTCCAGTCATTATTCAAGTCATTAATGTTCCATCCGTCCATGGGATAGCATCCGGCTTGGTACAACACATACGTCCTAATTCTGCTTTGGTGCAATCCTATCTTTCGGCTTGAAGAGTACTTACTCCTTTATCTTTGAGTTGGGATTCAACCTGTCTCAAGATTGGTCGCGACATTTATGTTGTATTACTTTACTATTAAAATTATTTACTTTAAAAAAACAATTAATAAACAAGGACTCCACAGAACCACAGTCGTGGTCAAGAGTAGTCACTCTGCCAAGAGTAACCGACTATGATGGTAATGAAATGACCGATGATAATCTAGTATTCTTCTGTAATCTCTCTTCTGGTAATATTACTGAAATTCCAAAATGCCAGATTTTTCTGCTTTCTTAACGTGTTCTGCTTTTTTATCCCGGAGCCCATAGAAATGGAGACCAACGCGAATAGTGACCTTGAAACATGAGGTCAAAGTCTCAATTGTGTTGTACAACGACTGTGCCACTCTTCAAACCGCAATGTCTGACTACTTCGGAGCAGAAACAGATAGAATGGTGGTGCGTGCGACCCGACCTAACAATACGCCCTAAGATCAATCAAACAACCACATGAATCCACAAGTTTTATTATGTCCTTATGTCCAGATCATGGGTACCGAAAATAAACAACTAAGCATGGCCGCGAGCGCCATAGCCCTGCGCGGAGTCAGGATATTCCTGACGGCTGGAAGGGCAGTCGCTCGACGTCAAGCCGCAGCCCCGCCACAGCCTGAACCAAAGCCGAAACCTCGACCTAAGCCCGTGGTCTTTGGAAGCCGACCACCGCAGAAGATTTTCGATATGCTCTTCAAAACCACCAGGTTTAATAAGTAAGTTTGAGGAATATTGCTTGTACACGACGCTCGGCAGCGACAAGATGGCTCTGATTTGGATGACGAGAACTCGGCGATGCGCCCTAGGCAGATCACGAGCGTCTGCTTCGTGTGTCCAAATCGCATCCGCAGTAACGTTAACCCGTCGCTTGCGACGAATAAATGCTCGACGAGTAAATTAACCCACAGACACAGGCCACTGAGTTTCTCGCCGGATCTTCTCAGTGGGTCGCGTTTCCGATCCGGTGGTAGATTTTGCGAAGCACTCCTCTTGCTAGGGCCAGTGCTAGCAACACTCCCAGTTTGTGCCCCGTGAGCTCGCCTACTAGTCCGGTGAATCTAGAATAACCCGTCGAGGCTACTAGAAAAGGTAGGAAAAAAAAGTGACTTTACGGTGTCGTTAGTTCAGCTGGTTCAATTCAGTTACGGTGCAGATTCTTCCTAAAGCAAATGGTTACCGGCCAGTACCAGCAGTGGCCGAAAGGTGAGGCATCAAGTTATGTATCTACTCAAAACATATATTAACCTGTCTTCAAGATTTGGACTTTTTACATAGCATAGGAGCAATCCATACAAATACTCCAGGCGCCGTATTCGCAAACCTATGAAGTTATACTTTAGAAATTTGCGTGGATATAAGTGTTATTGCATGTTGTAAGCACAGGGGAAAGTTCGAAATTGCTATATTTTAGTATGGCGCGACGGGAGCCCTCCATGCGGTAACTGTTACTAATGAAATTGGGTTTTGACTTCATGTCTCAAGGTAATATGCCACCAATGTCCTCGGTACTCTCTTGATGGAAGTTGAGTCGCGAACTTGTTAAAAAGCGTCACCAAAAAAAGTTTGTGCCATTGTAGTTACCTAAAAAATCTATGTTCGATCACGCGTGTTCTACCCATAGCTACATCAGTTATACAAGCTTATGAACATAAAACTTCGCCGTGTTTTCATATCAAACAAACTTTGGCCATTGCGCGGTTCGGTCGCGCCCCTTCCAAAATACGATAGCTACGTTTGTATTAATTAATACTATAATAACGTTACATTTTCGGGCGTGAATTTAAATTAGAATGAAGTGAACAAGAACAAAATATAATTTAATAAAAAAGAAAGGAATTAATAAAAAAATATAAAGTGATATTTTTAGTTCTTGTTAAAGTTTAAGCATTGATATATGGAAACAATTAATTGAATCTCAATTAGGTTCTAAAATATTCTGTATAACTAAAAGAGTTTTGATTGCCACATTGATCAAATGGTTAGTGACTGTCTATTAAGCCCCGGTCTCCATATTTGATACCCAATTAGAATTGATTTCTCAAATAAAATTTATTTAATTAAACTTAAATAAATTTATTGCACTAAAATTTATTTAGTTTCCGATATCTGTGGCCTAGTTTGTTGTTTCGGTAAATATAACAGAAAATTCTAACTTGGGCCCTGTGGAACATTTAGAGCGTTATTTATTTTGGTTCTGTATTATCTGTGGAGTGTAGTGTGTGGTATTATCTGTATTTTTTTCATAGCGCTTGTAGGCAGACGAGCATACAACCCACCTGATGGTGAGTGGTTACCGTCGCTCATAGACGTCACCTATGCTAGGAGCAGAGCAAAGCCGAAAATGAAAATTGAAAAGGAATCTTAACTTGTTGTATTATGACTAACTGTAAAACTTTGTATTGTGAAAACGCAAAAGTGATTGTAGTTTTTTTTTAAAATAATAAACTGTGAGTGAGATTTTTGTCGCGTGCTTGAAGATTGAATTGAAATGCCGAATCGGAAATTAAAAGAACGACACCTGGAGGCGTTGTACCGAGTCACGCACTTCTCTAAGTAAGAAATATTTGTTTTTGCAATCAAATTGAAATCTTGTGTTTGCTTATAAACTGCAGGTAAATATAAATAGCTCGTAATATTGAGTAATTTGGTCTTATACATTTAGTTTACGGAGTACCTATGTTCTTTTATGACCCACGTAAGGGATCCTACAGTGATAAGATAGCCTGCTCGGTTATTTATTCATCAGACAAGTCATAAACAAGTTCTCGGTCATGTCTAGATGCCTAAGGTTTTACTACTCAATTTATCCTGTAATTTCCGGTTTGATGTTTCCAGTGGACGTGAGCGGGTGCAACTATCTTAATATTAGGTTGGGGAAAAAGTCTTTTGGTATTATAGTATGTATAAACTTGTAATAAAATCTCTTTGTATACTATTTGCATGTGGCTGGTTTTGGTATCATTAAAAGTTTAAATTTTAAAGAAGATAATTCCAAATTCAAATTAGGAAAATGTGGTTTTATTTATTTTTCGTACTGTCAAGATGAGTGAATCTAATGAAGAAATTCGATACATTTTAAAATATTATTACAAAAAAGGTAAAAATGCAACGCAAGCTGCGAAAAAAATTTGCGATGCTTACGGATCTAGTGCAGTGTCTGTGAGAGTAGCACAAATTTAGTTTAAGCGTTTTCAATCCGTAAGTTTTGTTGTCAAAGTTGCACTCGCTCTGGTCGCCCAGAGATAACGCTAGACCTCACACATCTTTAGCCACTCAGCGAAAATTAAGAGAGCTTGGCTCGGAGGTGTCAATGCATCCGCCGTATAGTCCTGACCTTGCACCTTCAGATTTCCACCTGTTTCGGTCTCTTCAGAATTATTTAGGCAGTGTCAGGTTAACATCACGAGAGGACTGCCAAAACCAATGGTCGCGGTATTTTGATCAGAAGCCCCAAAATTTCTATAGCAATGAGATCATGTCCCTACCTATAAGATGGAAAAAAGGAAGTTAGGTAGTGAATTGAGCCAAGGATACTGTTGACAATTTATGAAAAAGTGGATACCTCCACTATCCTCCTGGTCTGGAATTGATTTTCTGTTTCATTTGATTAATAGTTGGACAGATTATTATCGTGTAATATATAGTCCGTTTTAGAAATACCGATTGTAATGAAGGTTCGATTCTTTGACTACATATGTAACTCTTTCTAAAGGAATGAGCTGGAGGCCCTGTACTCTATGTACCGGAGACTGGTGACAGCGGCTCAGGCAGCAGCACCAGCTTCGGCCCTTGGACATCCGCCCAAAATCGAGGTAAACGAATCGAAAATACAAAAAAATAATTTCGTCTTACGTATTGATCATCTACAACGTAAATGCCGCCACCTACCTTGAGATATAAGTTCTAAGGCCTCAAGTATGCTTACAACGGCTGCCCCACCCTTTAAACCGCAAACGCATTACTGCCTCACGGCAGAAATAGGCAGGGTGGTGGTACCTACCCGCGCGGACTCACAAGAGGTCCTACTACCAGTGAAAAGTTCTAGTAATAATTGTCATTTAGGAAAGCTATTACCCACCGTAGGGATTAGAACTATTTAACTTGTCCCCACCTTGAGAAATGAGGTCGGATTGTTTGAGGTTTTCATTTGAAACGATCTACGTATGTACGTAAATTTAAGAGTGACGATGCCAATACGAATGCTATAATAGTCTACCTTGACATTTCATGCCGGATCTTGAGAGTTTTTTTGACAAATATTTTTAGTCAACTAACTCCTCAGAAGGAAACAATTTCTTGTGGCTGAAAGGAGCCATTTATGATCGCTCCATATCGCGATGCCTGGGAGTTAATACGAATATAAAATATGTATTTACCAACCATATTTAGCTTTAGTTATCCGGACGGTATTGTTTTATAAGGTAACGATGTGTTTTTTGGTATCGACAATAATTAAAATCCAATTTAGGGGCCGTTTTTTATTGTCAGACTCCAAGTCGATCTACGGGATTACGTAAAATACACAAAATACGCTTACAGAATTTCTGTAGCCTCAAACTTTATTCAGCATGAAAACAGACATGCTTAACATATTATGTACATTACTGTTTCTTGTTACGTTGCGGGTTGCACAGCGGTTTCACAATATATGCATTGCAATACTGTTTTTGTTCTTATTTGTGAGTACAATATTATGTAGCTTATGTATTTCAATCGTATACCGGTATTGTGCAGTTCTGGCGTTTTATCCTCCACAAAACTGGACCAACTGAAATTCGTAACGAAAGCGTCGTAACTTCTCTAAGTTGCAGGACAACGCACCGATTCAGTGCCTATTTTAGTCATTTAAATATTAGTCAATCTACAATTTATTATTAATTTGAGGTATTTTTTGCCACATACCATATGGCTATAGAATGAGCTCCCCTCCACGGTGTTTCCCGAGCGCCATGACATGTCCTTCTTCAAGCGAGGCTTGTGGAGAGTATTAAGCGGTAGGCAGCGGCTTGGCTCTTCCCCAGGCATTGCTGAAGTCCATGGGCGACGGTAACCACTCACCATCAGGTGGGCCGTATGCTCGTCTGCCTACAAGGGCAATAAAAATAAAGGTAATTAATAAATATATTTTCTTTGTTATTATTTGATCTTACTTGTGAATGTTATATGTTGTATGGTCTCATGTTATTCCTATCACTACATTCAATCAAGTTCGTAGATTCTAGTCAGACAATGTGCAGAAGACAAGTTTTAACTTCGCACATAATGTTCACGTGAAGGTTAACAGTATTCGATTCTTTGTCCAATTGAAAACGGAATGCTTCTCTTCAGCTAATGGCAGGTTGGAGCCCATAGAAAGTGGGTCACTCGTGGATGTAACCATTTATCACATTACTGAACGAAGCGACTAGGAAACGACCGTCACGCAGGGACAGAATAACGCAATCCTGATTGAGTAACTGTCAGAATAATGAAACGGAAGTATTTCTGTCGAATTATCTATGTATTAATACGTGAAGCAAAAACATTGTACCCCTTTTTACGAAAATTGCACGGACGGAGGAGTATGAAATTTCCCACACTTATAGAGAATATAGAGGAGTGCAGTGTTAATATTTTTTTAAAGTATGCATAAAAAATACATTACATCAATAAAAAAAATATTACACACACTACCGTGTATTTGACACACACACACACGCATTTACCTATACTATTTGTTTATTGTCAAACTTTTCTTATTGCTTATAGTCTGTGGTCAAATTGAGAATAGATTAAATATTGTTTGTCTTTGATAATATTTGTCTTAAGTGTCCTAGCGAAATTTGTGAAAAAGTAAAATTCTTTGAAGTAGACGTTTTTGACAATAGAATCGTAATAGTGTATATAGAAACTTATAATTTCAATTAATTATTGTCGAATTTCGACTACCGCGGGACCACTGGTTATTTTTAATAGCTCATAATTGCGTGTCACATAGAGGGCAAGCCCGCCGTGGGCAGAACACCAGCCAGATGGTCAGATCTAGTGAGAGAAGCACATGGTGGTAGTCTGTACCATGCAGTCCATTCCACCCATGATCGAGCACAGTGGAAGAACGTCACATGTGGTCGCGTACCTCAGTAGTGAGGGAACGATATAGAAGAAGATTCTTTTTTTCTACATTCATTACAAGCCATTCGATAATACCGGCTTTAATACAATCAAGGGCTTAACACCAGAAAACCTTAAAGAGTAATTGGATGATTTAGGAAGTAGTTGAAGCAACGCAATTGACGTTGCGCAACTAACATTCTAGTGGTCTCGCAGTAGTCGAAATTCGACTATAATTAATTGAAATTATAAATTTGAACATTATTATGGTTGTCAAAGACTATTACACTTCTATAATCACAGATTTCGCCAAGACTACTACACTATAAACAAATAATATTAAAGATAAACAATATTATTAACCATTTTGACCACAGACTTTAAGCATTAACTAAAGTTTGACAATAAACAAAGAGTATATATACTATTATGTGTGTGTGTCAAATACATGGTAGTGTGTGTAATGTTTTCTTTAATGATTTAATGTATCTTTTATGTATTATAAAAAAATAGCATTGTGCACTTCTTCTCTATATTCTCTATAAGTGTGGGAAATTTCATACTCCTCCGTCCGCGCAATTTTCGTAAAAAGGGGTACAAAGTTTTTGCTTCACGTATTAATATATAGATTATGGAAAAATATCACGAATAAAATACTGTGTTTTCCAGTATCGTACTCATCTAGACAACTAAAACATTACATTACAGCGCACTGTAAAACTTAGTCGATACAAAGCCGCGTGTGGTGCCCCGAAGGGCAGGGCGGGACTCAGACAAAATTTACAAAAATTTTACTATTTAAAATTTTACTGGTGGTAGGACTTCTTGTGAGTCCGCACCGGTAGGTACCACCACCCTGCCTATTTCTGCCGTGAAGCAGTAAGTGATGCGTTTCGGTTTGAAGGGTGGGGCAGCCGTTGTAACTATACTTGAGGCCTTACAACTTATATCTCAAGGTGGATGGCGCATTTACGTTGTAGATGTCTATGGTTTCAAGTAACCACTTAACACCAGGTGGGCTGTGAGCTCGTCCATCCACCTAAGCAATAAAAAAAAAATTACAGTATTTGTTAATAATACGGATGAAACTAAACATGCGTCAAGAATGTTAACTTGGGAAAGAATATTTCGTGAATTGAATTCTATGTGGAGCACATATGGCATATGGACCTTGTCTGAGAACATGAAAATAAATTCGGGGCTGAGGAGTTGAGTGAGGTTAACCTATCATCTCGCATTAAAACTGTATAATCTCAAAACTTACTAATTTTATAGGAGAGTGTTTTAAAGGTTTAACATGGGATATTTTTAATAGGAATCATCTTTGCAACGTTTATTTTTTTTATCAGTTACATTATCTGTCTTTTAAAGTAAGATAAAATTATGTATTAATGTTGTTAATAGTAGTCAAAATATAGGTAAACTAAAAAAACTAAAACTAAAACTAAACTACGCTCTTTTGACAGTATTTATTAGAAAAATACTGGTGGCTCCAAATGATTCCGCATATTAACTCAATTTCGAATATTTTTAGAAAATGTACACTTTTAATGCGAAAAGACGCTATGTGTGTGTGCCTTCAATGAAACGTCACTGAAAAAGCATACGTTCGACATATGATGAGATACTTGAGGCTTTTTTACAAATGGCTTGTTTTAAGTGCAGAATAATTACCACAATACGATAAAATAATATGGGTTCGCAACTATAATTAAAGTTGAGATTCGTCCCTGAGTCAAGCATCATGTGGACGCACGCAACGAAATATTACTGAAAAAAATTGCTCCTGTATTGGTAATATCGTGTTTATAGTACAAGTAATGATGCCTATGGTGATGTATGGTTAAAGGGGACGAGCTGCCGTGCCGAGTCCTTCGAACTAAATCATAAAATAGATGCTTTTTTCTTTTTCGTCAAACCTTTTTGTCCTTTATTTCTACTGTCGCCTGGTGGCTTAATGTATGCGACGAAGTTTTTATTTTTATATTGTTTGGCTGGGTGGACGTGCTTACGGTCTGGTGCTAGGTGATTAATGGATCCCATAGACATAAACAATGTAAACACTGCTACCCACCTTGAGATATAAGTTCTAAGGTCTCAGTATAGTTACAACGGCTGCCGTTTTACAGTACAAACGCGGCCCAACCCTTTAAACTAAAACGCATTACTGCTTCACGGCAGAAACAGGCAGGTTGGCGTTACGTGCGGACTCACAAGACGTCCTCCTCTCCACCTCGCGTCGTTTCCTCACTACTGAGGCTCGTGAGCATCATATTTCGACAGGATTTTACTCCTTGTAATGTCCCTCCGGCGCCTCCGATCATTGGCCGATCTCTAGAGTGGTGCGGATTCGATCGAACCACGTTTTCGGACATCGAATTGTTGATACTAATACCAAATCGAACAGACCTTTTATAACAAAGATAAATGTCACGTATTAAGCGAAATGTCGCTTATACCAAATAGCCCTTCACTCCTCGATATGATTCCCTTTACGGTTTCCAAATTTTTTCCAGGGTATAGACCAGAACACGTTCCGAGATGTCATGCACAATACATTTGATCTGGTCACCGAAGAGACTATACTCGAACGGATTTGGGTGACTTGGGAACGAGGAGCCAACGGCGGCGAGGGGGCCCTTAAATTCGAGGCTTGGGTAAAAGGCCTCAGCGTCTTACTGCGTGGAAACAACGAAGAACGACTGGCTTTGTGCTTCAGAGTCTACGACTTAAATTACGATGGGTTTATCACTAAGGACGAGATGTTTGTATTGCTCAAGTAAGTCTGGAGTTAAACTTTACAATTGATGCGAATCGATGCCCGAGATTAAAGTGTCATAAAGAGGTCATTGGAACTACCGGTACGTTCTATGCTGAAAAGCGAGACTGTTTTGTTTTCATGAGTATACTTGGGACCAATAAACATTATGACTTCTAATTTGTTCTATAACAGGTTACAACTTGTGGAGTATATCTTTATCACACACATTCCTTAGTCTTGAAGTTCGTGGATATAAATTAGGGAAATAATTGCTTAAAAAATCTAGTAGTGGCTAGTACTATTTATAAATCTAGGCCCAAAATATGTAGCGCGCCTTCGAAGCCTGATGGGTTGGGTATTACAATACATTGAAATATACTGAAACTTCGATCTTGGTCTGAAAGTAAATAACAGCATTCATACCTAGTTGCCGCATGATCTATAGCAAGAAAAGGAGGAGTTGCCTCACTCAGTCAGGGCATCTATTCATCCAGATTTTACTGAAGCACTGAACAATACATACATATGTAAATAAACAATAAATGATGATTCCTACAATAAATATATGTAAACACTTACAGAAACTCACTTATGAAGCAACCAGGAGACGAAGACCCGGACGAAGGAGTAAGAGACTTAGTAGAATTGGTTCTAAGGAAGATGGATATCGATAAAGATGGGAAAGTATCTCTTGATGATTACAGGTAATTAATAGAAAGAGACGTTTAAATGTAAAATGTAATAAAAGATTACTAGTATACGTATGTAAGACATCATTTTAATCAGATTTTAGACTAATGTGTGCTTTCACAAGAGTTGTGGTAAATACTTATAAAATCAATATCAAATTAAATGTATATTTTATTTTACTACTGCAGAAGACATGGAAAGGCGCCAGGACAAACTTTGTGTTGAGTTATCTTAGTTCATATACCCACTCCATGAGTAACAGGATTTTCAAAGTGGGTCGCGATTCCGATCCGGTGGTAGATTCAGCGAAGCACTGCTCTTACTAGGGCTGGTGTTGTAAATTCACCTGAGCCTCGTGAGCTCGCCTTGACTTTCAATGAAGCTAATTTAACCCCTTGAGGTTAATAGCATAGGTTGGCAAAAAAATTGTTTAACAGATGTGGCATCCTTAAATCCGGAAGGCTTAGTTACATCGCTACAAAATAGGCAAGATAGACTTCCTCGTGTGAGCTCAGTATACGACTAGTAAATAAGCTCACATAGCGTATAGTGCAAAAAATTGTTAAATTAACATTTTTAAAGTTATCGTTAGGAAGGAGATCATAGTTTTTACAAGTCTTCGGTTTTTTGGAAAGTTAATCTCATGCCTTGTTATAATGTTTCAGAGATGCAGTACAACAAGAGCCGCTACTGTTAGAAGCGTTTGGGCAATGTCTACCTTCAAAAAGGCACGTAGCGGTTTTCCTTAAGAATTTAGTTTCGAAAATGTAAAATTTTGAGACATATGTTTGTAGTAATAAGTGCAAATTTTTATAGTTTTTTTTAACTGTTTTATTGATTTTCAGTGTATGTATAGTCTAATGTAATAAGAAAGTTATATTCTATGTGGTATTTTTGGCGGGAACGCGTGGAGTGAAGTTGTGTGATTTGTTTTATTTTGTCTATTTAGTGTTTCTTTAGGTTTAAATGTGTAATAATGGTGCCTGTTTAATATCTGTGAAAGTGTACAAATGTGGGAAAATGAAACAAAGTCACTAGACGTAACTTCACGGGATCCTCCAAAAAGTCCACTGAAGAAAATCTCAGTAAATGACCACCATTTACTGAGATTATATTTCATCTCATCTCATTTAATTTAATTTCACTCCATATTATCATTTGTCATAAAGATAAGAATATAAATTAAAATAAGACATGACTTAAAGGTCTTAATTACCAGGTCATAAAATCCCTTAAAAATATACTCTCTGTTATTATTTTTAAAGATTATTATTATTATTATGTTTTTATTCTTAATTTTCATATTGATAACGCTGTCTTTGATTTTTATTTTGGCAATTTCTAGGTTGGAAATTATTTACTATTTTAAATAATTTACTTCATTTTTCTTGGGTCCATCTCTATTTGAGTTGGTTTATTTTAATTAAAGATCATTTGTAAAATTTATATCTTGCTTCTTGTACTTACATGTTTCTTTTCGATCTTGTTTACACCAAAGATACAGGAATCAACTATATAATAATTCAAAAACATTTTATACGAAAGTATTTTATTGAAATGTCTCATAATATCTTAAACAAAACAGAAAATAAAATTCGCTAAGCATCTTTTTTTTTTTTAATCTAAGCTTTAAATCAGTTTGGATCTAAGCCAGTTCCCAGAAAATCAGTCATCATCCGTGCAGCGCTGATCGGCAACAGGTTGTATATCTGGAAACGAAGTTCAATATATTATGTGGGCCGCGAGGTAAGTAACACCGGCATCTTCATATCTGCTCCTAGGGTAGGTCAAGCGCTATTAATGCGATCTAGAATGGGACTGATGATAACGCAAGTCGAATGTCCTGTCAGTCTTTTCAAAACGCTTACACTCCAATTACCAATACGACAATAACTCAGCTATCTACAGTCTAAAAACTATTCATATCCTGTACTATCAAAATTTGAAAGAAATGTGGCGCTATGATGTACTCTGTTTTCATAATGGTTTGAACAAAATCTTTGTTTGACATGGACATAGACAATACCCGTTAATTGTTATAACTAATTATAGGTATATTACACAATATCTAGTGATAAAAATACGTTTCCCCATAGACACAGCCCACTGAGTTTCTCGTCGGATCTTCTCAGTGGGTCGCGTTTTCGATGCGGTGGTAGATTCTGCGAAGCACTGCTCTTGTTAGGGATAGTGTTAGTAACACTTCCAGTTTGAGCCCCGTGAGCTCACCTACACGTTAGGGTGAAGCTGAAATAACCTCTCAAGGCTATCAGCATAGGTAAGGAAAAATTTTTATTTCCAATAGATAACCTCCTTTTAAAGCTAGTGTGTTTACAAACTTTCCGAAAGTCAAAGATGCGCTGTGATCATATTCACTTCAGAATAAAATTACCTTATTAGTATAGTACAGGTCGCTAGGCACAGTAATCTCGTGGTAGTTGCGTCTGACGGCGTCCACGATCTGATCGGCCGCCTCTCCAGGCTCTACCACCTTCATCAGCGAAGGGAATCTGATACGAGGATTGTGACACAGACCCGTGTTCACTATGTACGGGCACACTGTTGTTAGTTTGATCTAAGCACAAATTGTAATAGCATTAATTTATTAACAGCAGATGTGACAGTCTTTATGGAAAAGAGTAAAACTATTTACCCCGCTGGTGTTTCTTGGATCCTCATGCAGCTCAGCCGCCAGGGCTTCCATTATGCCTCTAACGGCATATTTACTACCGCAGTAAGGTACGATGTTCCTCAAGCCCATTTTACCTGCCATTGAAGACATGGCTACAATGTGACCGTGGTTATTTTCCAACATAGAGGGTAGGAAGGCTTGGATCATCTGAAAAAGGGTTTTAGTTCTTAGATGCTTTAAGACCCTAAGCTGGCTAAGACCACAGTACCACAGTTAAATGTGGCTAATAAAGAACGTTCTTCCATTTTCGTTAATCGTAAACGAAATTATTACATTTTTAGGTTTCAATCTTGCGTTTATTCTGCTCATTATCACACACCTTTGACGAGTGGTTAAGAGGTATAAAAGTAGCTATTTGCTAAAAATAAAGTTATGTGCACGGTAATTTCAGTTTTATAGGATTTTTTTTAGAAATCAGATAATAGTTAATTTAATTTTTGTAATTCTTAAATTAATTGATATAAATTAAATCTTGTAATGATGGAAGGGATAATGCTGTTTTATTTGAAGCTAACGCTTAGAAATATTTTGTTCCAGTTCGCAATGAATTAAGGCTTTGATCTCATGTTTGGCGCCCTAACTTCAGAAGATGCCATTTTATTCTAGTACCAATTATGGTCTTACCCACAAATTTCCATGAACGTTTATGTCCATCATGCTCCTGATATCTAGTTCGGAGTGCTTCAGTATTGGCTTACATGGCATTATGCCAGCATTGTTCACCAAGATCGTTACCTCTCCGACTTCGTTTTTAACCTTTTCTGCCAGCAGGAACACTGCGGGGCGATTCGTGACGTCACACCTGGAGTGGTAATGTAAATTGATAAATTAAACACTCCAGAGATTCAACCCACAACGGTTTTTGTCAGCTTGTAACCGTCTACGTATTTCTGGAGTTTTGAAGGTATGGGTTACTAGACAGTAAATTAATTTTGGCTTCACTCTGTCATTTATACAGTAATTTACATAATGTAGTTATCCTATAGACCTATCTTTATCTAGTGTTCCAATGGGAACCATATTAATGTTCCATAAAATAAACAAAATAGATACATGTCTCTCAAAATTCCAGACAGGGGTCTAAGTTGATACATATTTATTTATATGTTAAGTACTTAGGTAAATGATGTTGGCGTGTATATAAACGACCTCACAGCTATTAATAGATGTACCAGTATTTTAATCTCGTTTTTCATAATGACGTTAGCTTTTATTCGGTTTTCAAGACTTCTAAATATAATTATGGTAGGCAGCGGCTTGGCTCTGCCCCTGGCATTGCTGAAGTCCATGGGCGACGGTAACCACTCACCATCAAATGGGCCGTATGCCCGTCTGCCTACAAAGGCAATAAAAAAAAATTAAAAAAAAACTACATTTAGGCTTTAATCCCTACAACTGTATTTGATATATCAGAAACGCGAAAATAAACCGTGGTAAAAGTAAAAAGTGGTATTACTACTTACTCATATTTAAAAGCCTTTCCCTTATTTTCCCGGATCAAATTCACCGTCTCCTCGTTGCCTTTAGGGTTGATATCCACGCAAACAACCTTGGCTCCGAGACGAGCGAACCGCACCGCCATCTCTCGTCCCATGCCATGACCAGCACCGGTTATCTGAAGAAAAATACAACTGGGGCTACTTTTAAACTCATCTATATATATAAAAATGAATTGCTGTTCGTTAGTCTCGCTAAAACTCGAGAACGGCTGGACCGATTTGGCTAATTTTAGTCTTGAATTATTTGTGGAAGTCCAGAGAAGGTTTAAAGGTAGATAAATATGAAAATGCTCAGAATTAAATAAAAATAACAATTTTGTTTTTCCTTTGATGTCTCCCCCGTCGGACAGATTCCTTTTGTTGTTTTAAGTTTATTTTATACAAAAGTTTAGGTCTTTTATTTATCGATTGAGGCACTGAAAGGCTGTAAAGATAGCCAAGGAGAGGAAGACGTGGGGAAGTATAGTGCATCGAGTGATAAACATTTCAAACTGGACACGACCAATGAAGAGACCGACTCAGAAGTAGAAGAAGAAAAATGGTTTTATCACGGTTTTTAACACGATCCGAATATAGGATTTTCACTAGTGTTATGGGTGCCGAAAACATGCAGGAAACAATTTTTTTTTTTATTGCTTAGATGTGTGGACGATCTCACAGCCCACCTGGTGTTAATTTGTTACTGGAGCCCATAGACATTTACAACGTAAATGCGCCATCCAGCTTGAGATATAAGTTGTAAGGTCTCAGTCAACGGCTGCCCCACCCTTCAAGTCGAAACGCATTACTGCTTCACGGCAGAAATAGGCGCGGTGGTGGTACCTACCTGTGCGGACTCGCATGAGGTCCTACCACCAGTAAAAAACAACAATATATGTACACCCAGACTTAGCAGTTAGTCTTTAATATAAAATTACTACTCCGACACAGAGCCAGACTCAGGTTCTAGGTTTCAGGCTACTAGCCACTAAATTAATAAGCTGATATAAAAAATAGCCCAACGACCACTATTAAACAAAATAGCGTCAAAGAGTTTCCTATCAGCCACCCGCTACTTCTCAATAATCCTTCCGTACTAACAGTATTAATCAATTTGCCGATATTCCCTTTCTTCAAACTAACCCCTTAAGCTCCTATGTAAAATAAAATCTTTCTTTCAAATGTACTTTATATTTTAGTAAAATGCAGAGCATCAATCAGTAGATTATGGCAAAGTACTAACAAGAACAATATCTTCAGAAATGTCTTTAGGTTCCGGAGCCAGGATCCAAGTGATGAAAACCCTAATCAGCTCGCAGTTAACTTTCAGTAAAGTCCATATCGTCTCTAGGATCAGCCTGATTACTTGTATCGCCTGGGGTTCTTCGGCCCTGTGGAAAGATGTTTAAAGACTTATTTCATGCAACTATTAAACAATAGTTCGTACTCATATTGTAAAGGAAATCGGCTGAAAATGAGCCCCATCAAACGTGTTTTTGCTCCTTATGAATTGGCTATTACGTTGGCTTTATGTATTGGTGTACGCTCACCGTCAATCATATATATCAAATAATAAACAATATGTCTCCAAAGTTTTAAGATGTTTTTGAATGTTAGCTATTCAGATTTTTTTAATTCAGTATAATCTTCCACAAAGTTAGTAGTCAAAGTTCATATTATTTTGTCCAACGTTATATCTTTTATTTATCATAATTATCAACTATTCCATATTAATTACCGATTACGACTGACTTGTTTTTATTGCGAATTTAATTTTTAGTATGCCTAATCCTTGCCGTGATCTATAGTTCAAAAAATTTTAGTCATAGAAATGGAAAATAAAATAAGAAACGTTTTTGGACTTAAAGTAAATGTTTTTATTATCTACGAGTATATTCTTATATTCTCAATTTGATAGTAGGTAAATGTATGGTTTAGCGAGCTCCCTCTTATGTCAGAAAAGTCGTAATATACGTTTTTCACTGGTGGTAGGACCTCTTGGGAGTCCGCACGGGTAGGTACCACCACTCTGCCTATTTCTGCCGCGAAGCAGTAACGCGTTTCGGTTTGAAGAGTGGTGCAGCCGTTGTAATTATACTGAGACCTTAGAACTTATATCTCTAGGTGGGTGGCGCATTTACGTTGTAGATGTCTATGGGCTCCAGTAACCACTTAACACCATGTGGGCTGTGAGATCGTCCACACATCTAAGCAAAAAAAAAAACTTATCTTTCAACTACATAACTCATTTCATTATTGTTTATTGATTGAGTATATATAGTTTAGAATTAACATTTACCGCTTTTCAAGTTACATGCTCTTTAACTTGCCTCGTTAAATTATCACACTATTTTTTTTGGTAACATTTTCCACTAAACACTGGCGAAAGCACTTAAACGCCGATTGAATAGTTTTGCGAGATTATTTAAGATTCACATCAACAATTTTTATGCTATGATATGTCACAGCAGCCAGAGATCATTCACCCATACACGCAACAAATAAATAAAAACTATCAGAGATGGATTCGTTGTCAAATTCCTAAGATATCTTTAAAAAACTTAAAAAATGGGAATATATATTAGGACTAACATATTTACAGATATGAATGTTTTAATTTTGTTACTAGTACATAAAAAAGCTTATTAGCATCCGAATTTTATTTGTAATGCAGTGACGCTTCTATTTTCATTTTGCTGTTCAAATTAACTGTTTAAAGTTTTACTGAAATCCATTTTCAGGATGATAGAATTGGATCTCATAACATCTATGAAAAACACACAATGCGGGAGTAACAGACATTGACATATTCACCTGTCTTGTTCTAAATGTTTAAGTTTATATATTTGGAAGAAAATTCTTAAAATTGAGTTCAAACCAGAAGCTAAGTTTAATTCCAGCCATGAAATAAGTTAAAAAGGTTACGATCATGTGGAATTTAAATTTATTATTATTGCAAAAAATACTTACATGTCAACGTCGTAAGCAAAACACGATGCGTGTGATATAATCCAACGTAACGCTTATCTGTTATCAACAACTGATTGTGAATTAAATAGTATTTTGATAGTGAACTTATATTTTATCGTTGAAGGATGGGACAGCTGGATTTAGCGAAATATTTTGCGATGAACTTAGTTACAAATTTCTAAGGATTTGCATTTTACATGCCGATGTGGGATACTGTTTTCAGAATGAAAAGTGATGGTAGCGCTTCCTCGTAGCGACTGACAAAAATATAAAAAACCCCAGGGGAAAATTAACTTTCTCAACTTATTTTCCTGTAGATTATTATGTGATCATGCTAATGCAATAGCAAACTAATAACAAACCAATCTAAAAATAGTTAAAAGACTATTATTGAATTAAAACCGTACAATTGGGTAAATATTAATGTCTAACAACTTATATAAGTATCTAAAATCTATTAATCAATATAAATGTTTATTACACTTGACGGCTAGGCGTTATATTATATTAGTAGGATCTATCGTCTTTTATGTTAGCCTCAAATGACGTCACAATGACATGTCGTGTGACGTCACACACATAGTCGTGTATTGGAAGTTTTAAGCCGAAAATCGGATAAATAATAGCTGAGCAAATGGTTTCATGTGACCAGGGCCTCTCGCCCTTAAGTTCATATTTCTCTTTTTTTCTTAGCAAAGGGTTTTCCGTTTTTTTATAATACTGCTGTTAAAATTTTGAGAGCGTCTCTCAACCGATTGCACAATGTCTGGCTATGTAGTATCAATCGGATCTCTCATTAGAAAACGCGATCATCTAAGAACAGCTTCTAGATTTTAATAGTGTTGTGTACGTAACATGAAATGGAGTTAGTTATGAGTGTTAATGTTTTCTAATAATGATTGGAAGTCTGTGACCATTGTTGCTAGAGGTTATAGTTGATTTAGAAAAGCTAGAGTTGATTTGGATACTCTTAACTTTTTTTTTTTTTTATTGCTTAGATGGATGGACGAGCTCACAGCCCACCTGATGTTAAGTGGTTACTGGAGTCCATAGACTTTAGTTGTTAGCGTGATATAACAAACTAGGGCGGAACAATTAAAAAAATAGGGAATTTAATAGATATTTCTGTTGTTTCGAATACACTATCAAATACTGATAGTAAATGAGAGATAAAATTTCGAAGTCAAGAACGATTTAGATACTAAGAACTCACGAGGAATCCAGAGAGTACGCAATTTTTTTTATCGGCATGTAGGTACTTTTACGTGAATCTAATTTCTAATTTATTTGTTACGTTAATTTCAATTTATGAATAGAACACTTCACGATCTGTTAACTTTCTTAGGCGGTCACTTTGTCTGAACTATAAGATAATGTGATGTTTTATTTCAAATTTTCTTCAGATAAATTTCAATCATATTCTGGGGTTCAGTTTATTTATCTTACTGGTTTGGGGGTTTTAGTAATTTAATTAGATTCTTCTAAGAAAATTGACCTCTTGCATAAATTGAATTTTACTCATCAAATGTATTCTTGCATGCTTTCGATGCAATGTTGTCCAAACAACACCAATTTGGAATTTAGATTTAGAGGTTAGTAGCACGAGAGATAAAATACCCTTAAAAGAATTTTCAGTTATTGTTTTTTATATTGCTTATATGGGTGGATGAGCTCACGGCCCACCGGATGTTAAGTGGTTACCGGAGTCCATAGACATCTACAACGTAAACGCCACCCACCTTGAGATATAAGTTTTAAGTTCTCAGTATAGTTACAACGGCTGCCCGACCCTTCAAACCGAAACGCATTACTGCTTCGCGGCAGAAATAGGCAGGGTGGTGGTACCTGCCCGTGCGGACTCACAAGAAGTCCTACCACCAGTAAGAACAGTCGAGACGAAATCGCTAGTATCGTCGAGAATATTCCACAAAAGTCAAGTATTGTGTGTTTCCGTTGTTTGACAATATATGGCGTGGTACTTCTCGAGCGATCTAGATGCTACTAGATCCTTCTATATTCGTTCGACTATTCGGCGATTGATGGTGTTACTTTTACCGGCGCGGCGTAACAATACTAAGAAGCGGAACCCTTGAATAGATCGTTGATTTTGTGGAAGGCACAGGTCAACCGATAATATTATCTGTGTCCGAGGTTGTTTCTTATATCGTGTTTGTGTGACGGCACACTTGTGAGCCAAAGTTATTGACTGCTATCTTTCACAATATTTATCATTAACACGTTGCCTGAACTCCGAGTCGAGCTCCCTGCGTTCGATATTAAACTATACTTGTTGCTAAAGATAAACACATGTTAATGAACTCGTAAGGAGTTTTTTTTAGAAATAATCGAGATGAGAACACAAATATTTGTTAGTGAATATTAATGGTATGGCACTCTTAGCATCTGAACCTTTCTCTAGCTAATCTTTTACGGCTATAATCTATCAAAGGTCTGGTTATTTGATATTATCAACTCGGTGGTAAGTTTATTTTAAGTAAAAAGGAAACTTGTTATATTGTTATAGTTGAGTTCCCAGTTCTCTTCTTCAATCTGTATCAATCCAGTACTGAGTGTAGGTTTCTTCATATGGACTCCGTTCTTTTTGGTCTCTTTAGCATCCAGTCCCTACCAGCTATTTTGACCAGGTCGTCGGTCCACTGCATTGGTTTTCTACCCACGTTACGACGTCCATTCAATACCGTCTTTACCATAAGGGCACACGGGGCCCGTGCCCAGGGCCCCCATTCTCAGGGGGCCCCGAAAGACCGACAATTTCTCTCACACGTTTATTCTCAAAACATTTTTGTCGGGCACATTACACTTTTTTCACAAATCAGTAATCAGAAAGTATTTAGAAGGCATATACTATGCCTATATAGAAGATTTTGCTCAACAGAAATCCCGAAAGAAACCGTTATCGAAATCGTAACAAAAAAACCAGCAGCATTCTAATATCATTAATGACATATTATATCATACTGTATTTGATTACCTATAATAAATGGTCTCATACTCAGTAAAAAAACGTTATTATAATTCGCTGTTTTTACTTTCCAAAAGGGCCTCAAATTCTTGTGTGCCCAAGGGCCCCATCCTAGTTTAAGACGTCCCTGCGTCCATTACGAGTCCAGTTCACAGCTCACCCGTTGTAAAATTTTAGTCTTGATCCAAGCGTAATTTGTAGCCACCATCCACTTAAGGGCTGAAAATTTAATGTTTGTATTAATGCCTGTGCCACTTCCAATTTCGCTGGCAGAAATAGGCAGGATCGTAGTACTGTATATCCCTGTAGGCTAACAAAATTACCCACCATAGAAATCGCTTAAATTTACAAAACTTACAAATTTAATCTATATCTATACTAATATTATAAAGAGGAAAGATTTGTTTGTTTGTTTGTTTCGAATAGGCTCCGAAACTACTGGACCGATTTGAAAAATTCTTTTTCCATTAGAAGCCGACATTGTCCCTGATGAACATAGGCTACTTTTTTTAATTTTTATTTTATTTTATTTTTCTGATTTCATGTGTGTTTTAATGTTTCCGAAGCGAAGCGAGGGCGGGTCGCTAGTTTTGTAATAATTTGTTATTTCTTCGTCCCTGCGAAATGACCACATACGAGAAAGTTAGGTTAGAAATTCCTGGCGCAGCCGAATTATAGTGTCAAACCCACCTTATGGAGGACAGGAGATGTAGAAGAAGATATTATTCCTTCACCTTGAACACGTGTCAGATATTTATATCCTACGAAATTTTAACACCCGTCGTCCTCTATAAGCTACGAATGTTCTAGATTCGTAAATCAATAGCGCCTTATTATTTTACATAGTTAGTCTTTCATCAGGAAACACTATTGATCATATCACAAATTATTTTTGCTAGTGCCGACGTTCTTATGTGTGTGTCCCAAGTAGAAAAAGTAGCAATCGTATTCTCATTGGCCTATTTAATCACGAATCAGGAAGACGATTCCGATCTTGTTTTTCGATCCAGTTTTGTCTTGTCTAAACCTAGGAGCCGCAGCATTCTCGTTACAATGTCTACGAGCTATAGCTTGCGGCAATCGCTGCGCCTTGATTACTTACTACACTTAATTTTTAATAATTACTAAACTATCAAGAATATTTTTTTTTGCTTTATCGCTATTGTTACGTCGGTAAAAGTAACGCCATCTATCGTAGAATAGCCGAACGAATATCGAAAGATCTAGTAGCATCTAGAACGCTTGAGAAGTACAAGCCATCTATTGTCAGATAGCGGAAACACACAATACTCGTTTTGTGTGGAATATTCTCGATAATCGCGAACCCCAGCGTGTAACATAGTTGGAAGCACTTACGGACTCACAAGACGCCGAACCACCAGTAATTGAGCATAATTATTGCGAATTTAGGCTTTATTAAACGATGTTATTATTCCTTCACTGCGAAAGTCATTCGTGAACATTTGTTAACTACGTATTATTTATTCGCTATTATAATTCGCTTTTACCTAATTCATTTTTTATGAAATGTTAACGCTGAGGTATCGTTCGACAACGTAGGTACATCTTTCTTCTGTCGATACAATATTTGTTCGATTTTGCAAAGCTTTAAAAGTAAAACGGAACAGTTTCAACGGTCAGCTTACTGATATCCTTTGGAGGTACCTGTGGAAGGTCTGCAGGAGAGAGCCACATCCGGGTTGCCACCAGTACGGGGATCTGAACGATGACGCTCAGCACGCGCTCGAAGCGTGTCTGCGTTGGGAGCACTCGTGGCGAGATCTCATCTCGGTGCCGGGGAGGAACCTCTCCTTGCAGGCTGTCGTCGCCCACATGTTAGAGGACCAGAACTCGT